ATAGGACCGAGTGTGACACTTCTTAGGAAATAAGTTTGGAATTCAAGTAGTAAGCAATGCTAAGGCATGTTCATATTCATGATTTACAAGACCTATAACTTCTTAAATTTTGTATTAATAGGATTTGTGAATTTCGAATATGACACTTTAAATATTGTGCCATTAAACTTAAAAATCATTTGCTTTAATGGCCTTAAAAGAGAAAATCCCAGTTTCTACGAATCACTGACTGCGTTCCGAAGTCTTAAAAACACAGATGTACATATTAATAAAATGAATACTATTTCATATAAATGAAATGCATTAAACTCTCTTAACATAATGAATGCTTAAATATACCCCTGAAGGGGACAATACATAAATACATAAACAACTGCCACAATCTTACTATTTTTAATTCAATAAACTACAATGACACATACAGCTTTCCACGTGCTGTTTTCCTCATATGCTTTCTACATTAAGGCAAAGCACACAGACATGAGTTCTTGCCAACCATTAGGAAAGATTGACAAAAAATGCAGTGTTAATGACATCTTATGGCTTTTAAAAGCAAGAGAAAGACGCAAGGAAAGCGAAAATTACATCGTAATTGGAAACAACGAATAAATTGTTCTTTCAAAACCTAAGTCATGTTTACTGAAAAAAACGCAGCTTTTTACATCAACACATTTAAACAGAAATTTGCTTTTAAAATGCAATCTTTGTTTAAAAGGTACAGAAGGTCTTTATGTCCACCCCAAGAGCTAAATATAGTGAATGCTATGTGAACAATTACCTGAAAAAAATCTAAACCTGTTAAAAGAATTAATTTACTGCACACCAGTCAGCACTAATCCTACATGTACAGTAATGTTCTCTTAAGTGATGGGGGAAAGAAAGAATAAAACTGTTTCCTAGATCAAAACCCTTCAATATTCAACAACGAAACGGAATGATGATTTGGCCTGTAAATGAATAAAGTAGTAAAATGTCCCCTCAACAAATTCTGATAAAAGGAGTCAACCTGTAAAGGAATACATTTACTATACGCTGATACTGGGAAAAAAGCTGTCACTGTAATGGCTGTACAAAAACTGTGTCCTGCTGTTGGGTTTATATTCACAGAAGAAAGGTTTTAAAGGTTAAGTTCAGGTCATACAACAAATGAAATTGTAACAAGCCAGCTGACATTGTATAATGTCTTCTTCCACTCAATCAATAGGCTACTGTTAGTCCTATTACCATAGAGATGGCTTGCTCTTTCCTGAAGGGTGTCTATTGTTTGACAAAACAGATTTGCCACTTGAACTAGGTTGTTCCCAAAGGACGTGTACCTTGTCAATTATTTGTATTCAAAATAATGAAGTATTTTCATATTAAAATGTATGTAAGAGATAATATCGTTAGATCCCTTTTCTGAAAGAAAGCAACTTTCCCAAGTACAGTATTACTAAAACATTACTAAAACCACTCAAATATCCAGTTTAGTCATATTAAGAGTTTTTGATTTAAAGCATCTGTCAGCAAATATACAAATTTATCATTAAGACTGTATTAAAAGAAAAGGGTCACAGGTTAAGTGTGCTAATCTAAAACCCATTATAATCAAGCATAATAATAAAAGGTATTTTAAAATGTGGACAACTCAAAGGAAAATTATTGTCCAAAGCTATTTGGATTCAGTAAAGATAAAGACTTCTATGTACGATTTTTACAGTGGTTTTCATGGGGAATGGTATCACCAATTAATATAGTGAACAGCATGAAAAAGTTTTAGAAACCAAATCACTTTATTTGCATAAGAGCTTTTTATAGCCACATAGCATTTAAATACACATGTTATAGAAATACCTTGTAAAATACAGGTAAAGAATGAAAAATAAAATAAAATAAATAAAATACAGATGAACTAACAAAATAAATACAACTATTAATTTTCTTTATGTGCTTTTGTCTTAAACGTCTTATGAAAATTATTAATTTGTACACTCAATACAGTACAAGTAAGTTCTGTATTTCAACCTAGATATTTAAAAATTAAAAAGATCAGTTTTTTTGTCTGAATAGAAATAATGACAGATTCTTAATTATAAAAGACTCAGGAGAAAGAATTCTAAAGAAGATTATTCTAATCATTTAGAAAAAGAAAGTATTCATAATACTAATCAATTCAAGCAGAGATGTTATTTTCAACATTTCATACTTAAAGATTTGGCTATCACTGAAAAGCTGTAAGACTGAAATAAAAATGAATTAAATAATATAGATAAAAATTTAGTAAATGATCAATAGTCACAAGATTTGAATCTGAAATCTTTCCACAAATAAATTTAAAAGTAAGCTTTAGAGTCATAATTATGTTAACTTTTACCTTTCTGTAAATAATGAAAAAGGAAACTTAGGAAGAATTTAGCCAAAGGGCAATATTATGACTAATGCAAATAAAAACATTAGTCTCCAAAAATGGCATTTGAAATTGTCTATTCAAATTACACTATATTTACAGACAAAAATTTATTGTTATACTAAAAACTACAGTAGTTTTTGAAAGAAGTGTTTTAATTTGGCTCTCCCTTTGCAGGAAGTATCATTGTATTTTTTACTATAATCTCCTTAGGCATAGGTTAGACTGAGTTAAGAATGAAGGAGACAGGAACAGCAAAGACAAATAAGTTTACCAACACCTAAACTAATGACCCATTTTTTAAAAGCAAGGTAGCCTTCCAAACTAAGAAAGCCTTCCATCCATGAAGTAAGTGGGGTCTAATTTGCCTCCCTTCCCTACCGCTATAATGGAACAAAGTGAAACCTTACTAAATCCTTATCCCAAATTTATTTCCTTAGTTAACAGCCTCATTTCAAAACGTAGACAACATGTGCGTATTTAGAATACAACATAATTAGGTAGTAGCTCTGGCCCTGACAGGCAGCTGCCCATCAGCAACACTGTGAGTAATTAAATGATATTTACCATTTACCAAAAGATGAACTTCATATTGTTGAATTAAACTGGCCCATCTGCATCTTCATAAAATGACAAACCTTATTAGTTCTGCCTAACCAGAGAACTGCGATAATGAACTAGTGACACCTTTACTCCATTGTACGAAGCACGACCAACTGTGTAATCATCTGAGGGGTCAAATGCATATGAAATTACCGGAAATTAAGAAAGTGAAATCACATGAGTGATTAGAAAAACCATTCAAGCAACAAAAGCTTTTTTTTTTTTTTTTAACGTAAGCACTTAGACCATAAGACAGCTACATCTCCAATTAGCCAAGATTAACTTTAACTGATCAACTACTTTACCTGAAAACGGTGAAAAAAAGTAAAGCTGCAGCTACTGCTCCAAATAAGCCACACAGAAGATTGACTCGGTAGGCAACTGAACCGAAAGGAAATAGTATAATTGCCAGTTTAGCCACCAGAGTGAACAAAGGATAGCCAGGAGGATGGGCAACCTATGGAAAAATCAGCAGGTTAGGAGGTTTTCACCCACTGAAGAGTCACACTGGCTTTAATTGGACAGGAGCCTTTTTCTCGGGCAAGTAGCGAGATTAAGAGGCAATGACTCAATGTTTGAATGGTGGTTTTCTATTGTAATCCTTTTGTGCCAATACAAATAAATATTTTCTTTCGTGGATTTGGCAGTGTCTACCACATGGTGTGTCACCTACAGAAAGGGTGACATATTTCATTGTCAGTTCTTAAGCAGCCTGTTCTCTGGGTTCACAGTGCATTAGGGTCATTTAAAAGGCTATTGAGAAAAAAGCAGGTTCTGAAATACCGTATTGGTTAGAAAGTTGAAAGACCACACTGCTATCGGATTACCACCACGCTGACAGTCCTAAGGTCTTGCCTAAAGGGATCATGCACCATAATAAAGTTTATTAAATAATAAACTTATTAAAACTGTTAACCCGATTTATTTTATTCTCCATAGCTTATACAAAATTTGGGGTGATAATAAGCCAGCTACTGTATATATAGTAAAGGCTTTGCTTTATAATTTAGTTTAATTGGATTTAAAACTTAAAGTAAATTGTCACGTACTGTACTTATAAGTTACTAAAAACTGGGGTTTGAAAATAAATTAATCTACTTTACTCCATGCTTAATTAAACTTTCTTAATTCCTAAAACTGTTAATGAGAGCATTGATTAAACAATAAAACTAATACTTACTCCAAGCTCATGTGCGGCTGTGATCAGTTCCCCTGTGAAAAAATAATGTAAAACCAATAATTACTATTAGAAAATGACACTCCTCCAAAGTTTTCAAAATCCAAATGCTTGCACTGGGGTTTTGCATTAATTTGACTGGATAAAACTGTAAATCTGTAGAGATTTAACAGCATGAAATAGTCTAAGGATATTTTCTCCCTTAGGTCTTACTGAACAAATGATCTTTGATAGCTTTGATAGCTTCCACTGGTCAGTGGAAATATAGGTGAATTCTTGTTTCTAAAAAGTGCCTATTGTCCTTCCTAAAAGTTGTACACACTTACAAATATATAAAAACTCTTGTGAAATGATAGTGTAATATGCTGTATTGTCCCTCAAGATTTTAGTATTAAAATGTCTACAAAGATGCAACTTTGTGATACATAACATGTGCAGACATCTGAGGCTTGGACACTCCATTACATGTACCATTCTGCCCTAAACTGGCGTTTGAATACCTTCTCTACATTAATTACGTTGGAGATCTTTAAATGACTGCTAAATGCTTCTTGCTCCAGGTTATTTTGGGAAGGTCCGACTACCATAATACATTTCTTCAAACCACTAAATCATTATATTACTTACATAGCCCTTTGTAATTCTTTGCCATCAGTGATTATTTCTAAAATTACGATGCAGTAATTCAATGGCTGTTTGTTAATATTTTAAGTATCCAGAGCACAGGGATTGTAATACATACAGTACAATGTAAGAAATCAATGTTGATGATTTATGAGTTACTATTATCTATTAAGAAATCTATTAATGGCCATTTTCTACCCTTCGATGGATGTTAATTTGAATACTCTTAATTTCTACTGTCCCAGCTACGATGTAGATCTTCACCCTCTGGCCTGGACTACAGCAAAAGCTTTGACCAGTTTCCTACTTCAATTCATCTTCATACTGAAATCACTTATCACCATACCACCCCCCAAAGAATGTTGGACTATATCCCTAATCCAAAATTTCTCAGTTGCTGCTCTGTTTACTAAATGAAGTTCAGATTCCTCAGCACAACAGGCTAGCCCTCTGTGGCTTCGAGGGCCCTTTACAAGGCTTACATCCTACGAAACCTATGCTCGCCTCAGTCAAATCTTACTACTCACCGTTCCTCTGGAATGGTTCTCTTTTGCACCTCTTATCACTCATTTCCTCACCCAGTATTCTCTCCTAAATCCTTCAAGGACTAATTCAATTGCCACCTTCTCAGTGACACCTTTCCTTATACATATCCTTCCCCAGCCTCCCCCATCAAGATTAATCACCTCTTCCTCCTCCATAGAACCTGCTCTAACCTCTCTACGCAGCACTTAGATTGCCTGATATTCCGGTTAGTTGTTTTCATTTCTGTCGTTCCTATGAAGTTGAAAATATTATCCTAGCCACTTCAGGAGTCTGTCAAGACACCACCACCTCTCCCTCCTCTGGTCACACAAAGAAACTAATTCAAGCCCTGCACACAGAGGTTGACAATAAGACGAATCATATTGTCATCCTTGCTACTAAGATGCCCTTAGTAGCATCCAAGGGCCAGTGAATGGTTGCATCATGGAAGCCCCATAAAGGGCACCCAAAGAGATAGATACTAGACACTGCTCACCTAAGTCAATGACGTAGGGACATCTTTTAATTCTGGAGATATTTAAGAGCACCTTGGAAACCAAAGGCATTTTTTGTATCTTAAAGACTTTTTAAAGAAATTGTTTACGGCCTAAAAAAATTTAAAGTAACCATTCCCTTTATAACCACCATCAAGAATGTTGGATAATTTTACTCCAGAATGGATTAGCATGTCTTCAGTCCCAAACTGTTTTCATCAGTTTTTGATATTTCTATAGTTACGATGAAACACAGTTACATTCAAATTTTCAAAGTCACTATTCTCCATGTAAAATACCTTTAGAATTTCATTTAACATGAAGAAAAATAGCCTACTTTCTCTAACTTCTTTTTACCATTAAAAAGTTATAATGCTGTTATTTTTTTTTTTTCTTGAAGTTCATTTATTTTGAGAGCACATGCACGTGAGGGAGGGGCAGAGAGAGAGAGAGGAAGAGAGAATCCCAAGCAGGTTCTGCACGGATAGCACAGAGGCAGATGCGGAGCTTCAATTCATGAACTGGGAGATCACGACCCAAGCCAAAGTCAAGAGTTGGACACTTAACCAACTGAGTCACCCAGGAGTCCTATAATGCTGTTATTCTTTACTGGAGTTCTGTTGGCATAAAAATCAGGAATGTGACAAACTTCCATCACCAACTCTTATCAAATGTTAAGCTAGTATCTAAATAGAAACCATAGCTATTATTAAATTATTAAAGCCTATAAATGTATCCTTGGAAAGAGCTAAAGGGAAACGTTACTCTTAAAGTTGAATATGATTAAGAGAAAAGAGCATGTGACTTGGGGGGGAGGGGGCGGGTGAAGGAAGAACCTCCTGAATACTTGCTTTCTCCCAAACCTTCACCCTAGGGCTTCCTCATATTTAAGTCCTACTACAACCTGCACCAGAATGCTTTTTTAAAATGAAGATTCCTTGACCAAACCTACCTACATTAAGACCCTCTGGCATTGGGGCCCAGGTTTCCTAGGCAATGCTGAGGTGCATTCAAGTTTGAGAATTACAGCTTTTCTGTCTGAGACACAAATGGTGGCAAGCTCAGAACTGTTAGCAGATGCTTAACCTTTACAAAAACTAGCTCCCTCTGTATTATACTTTTTGTATTAATTACAGTTATATTTTCATCTATCAAGTCTATTAAAGACAGCATCCTTAAAATATATAAACACATAAATAAGCTGATTTATTTTTCCCAAGAATAACAAGAGAAGTGATGGCTAGATTCCCACACTCTCCTCCAAAGGATGAGTATTTCCTGCCCATAAATCAACTATGTGTATCAAGTAGTACAAAAAATAATTTTGGCAAGGCCACACAATGTGATAGATTTATGGAGTATGAGTTAAGACTTATCAGGAAGAAAAATACATACTTTATATTGGTTTTGAGATGTGTTCCATTTATTGATAAAAAATATATTTCATAAACAGAAACATTCAAGGAGGACAGTACTTCCATCATATAAACAAAATTGTCAAAGACATGATTATACAAATTCACTGGCAATACCTGGAAAAGTTTATTTATCATTTCCAACAATGAACCCCAAAATATTAGAAGCAACCACTATTTAGCATCAAATTAAATCAGAACACCTAAAAAGTCTGGTAACTCAATCTGAATAAATAACTTTATTCTACTGGGGAAAAAGTAAAAGACAATATTAATAAAGATACCAATCACAGATTTTAAATATCAGTATATACGTAATGACGGGTTTAACTACGAACTTAGAGCAGAAGTTAAGAGAGCATGTTCTAAGTCAATCTACTGGAGTTCTTTCCTCGACTGCCCCTACTTTCTAGCTGTGTGATTCTGGACACAGGTTGGCCTCAGTTTTGTCAGCTATCAAAGAAAGATATTGGTAGTGCCTACCTCATAGGGATAGTAACTGAATTAAAATGACAATCCATGTAAAGCACTTGGAACAGTGCCTGGCATACAGTAAGAGCTCAGTGTTAGTTGTTTTTATTCATCCCCCCAATACTGCAGGCTCAAAGAACCGTGGTAACCTGCAATGTTTTTTTTCTTTTTTTTTTTTTTAAGGTACAGAACTACTCAATCTTTGAGTAATGCTCTCCATTGTCAAAACTCTCACTTGCACAGCTGGTGGGAATGCAAACTGGTAGAGCCACTCAGGAAAACAGTATGGAGTTTCCTCAAAAAACTAAAAATAGAACTACCCTACAACCCAGCAATGGCACTACCAGGTATTTATCCAAAGGATACAAAAATGCTAATTCAAAGGGGCACAGGCACCCCAAAGTTTATAGCAGCATTATCGACACTAGCCAACTCATGGAAAGGGCCCAATGTCCATCTACTGATGAATGGATAAGGAAGATGTGATACACACACGCGCACACACAATGGAATACTACTCAGCGATGAAAAAGAATGAAACCTTGCCCTTTGCAACAACGTGGATGGAACTAGAGTGTATTATGCTAAGTGAAATAAGTCAGAGAAAGACAAATGCCATATGATTTCACTCATATGTGGAATTTAAGAAACAAAATATGTGAACAAAGGGGAAGGGAAGCAAAAATAAGATAAAAAAAAAAAAGAGAGAGAGGGATACAAACCATAGGAGACAAATACAGAGAACAAACTGAGGGTTGCTGGTGGGGGGGATGACTAAATGGCTGATGGGCATTAAGGAGGGCACTTGTTGGGATGAGCACTGGGTGTCATATATAAGTGATGAATCACTAAATTCTATTCCTGCCATCATTATTATGTTAATTAACTGGGATTTAAATTTTAAAAATAAAAAAAACTCTCACCCCTTAAAAAAAACCACCTCTCACAACTATAGTTATTTCTATTATTTAATGTAAACCTTGGATACTGCTCCTATTTGTTCAACAGGACTTGAAAGAAAGATTAAAGGTAATGATTTGTAAAAAAAAAAAAAAAAAGCTCTTCAATGTGGCAGACAGCCCTGAAGACGGCCCCCAGTGATCCCCAACTCCTGGGGTTCTCACTATATAATCCTCTTCCCCCTTGAGTGTGGGTTGGATTTATCGACTAACTTCCAGGAATAAAATAGGGCAGTCCTGCATCAATCACTTCCAAGACTAGGTTTACAAAATGACCGACGTGTCCGACGAAGGTGCCATCTCTCTGGTCACAAGGGTCGGCTTCCCGAGAGACCCACTTGGCAAAGAACTGGATTGAGGTTACAAGCGGTTCCTCTCCCCAAGATGACCCTCGAGAAGACGACAGCTCCCGTCCACACCATGACAACAACCCCGTCCTGAGTAAGAGCACCCAGCTAAACTGCCCCCGGATTCCTGATCCACAGAAAAAGTGAGATCATAAACATTTGTTTTAAGCCACTAAATCTGGGGCTATCTTGTCAGGCAGCAAAAGATAACTAGTACACTCCATGTTTTCGACCTATAGATTCACTACCTGAAGTTACAACACCATTCTGACAAAATCAGGCATTACTGGATGGTCATTTAATTTGGCAACAAGACAAAATCAAAAACGGAACCTGGGTCTTGTTCCTCATCCCAAATATAAGACAATCCTATAACAAACACAATAATTGCTCGTGTCATTTAAATGGTCCCTGCTTTTCTTTTTAATAAATCAGCTTGTTTTAAGCCACACCTAGCTTCCACTTTTTCAAGTGTTCGCCCTCAAATTTCCTGCATGGCCGGTTCCTTTTCAACACCCAGGTTTCAACTACAATATGCTGCTCAGAGGCCTTTCCTGTCTAGCCTTTCTGGTGGAGCCCCACTCTCCATCCCGTCTCCCTCCGACTCCCTCCACTCATCACTACTCAACTTATCACTGTTTATGCAGTAGTTGGTGTACGGTCTCGACCCGCAATGGAATATTCTCCACGATACTTGGTCCCCACCACTGTTATTCCTTTTGTCTGGAACACGGTAAGGACTCAGTAAGTAGTATTTGGGGGGTGCTGAAAAGGAGTGGACAACGAAAACTCGGGTCCCGAAAAATGGACCCCGGGCAAGCGGAGAAGTCGCTAAGTCCCACCGGGCGAAACCAACAAGCCCCTTCTCCAAAGCCTGAGAACTACAGAACCCGGTTACAGGAATGGAATCACAAGCCGGTTCTGGAACGCAAAACGCTGCACTGGGCCAGGGGGGGACGGGGAGGGGGGCGATGGAGGGCGCGAGCCGACCGACGAGGGAGAGGGGCAGGAGGGCGGCCCTGAGATACTTTACCCGAGTCTCCCCCCGGCACCGAAGGGGGCAGCGTGAGGGTGAACACGGAGGCCACGGCGGCGAACACGGCCAGGCCGCCGCGGAGGCCCCCGGAGCGCCGCGGCCCCACCCGGGCTGCCCGCCCCCCGGCCGGGCCCCTGCCGTCGTCATGGAGACCCATGGGCCCGTGGGGCCCGGGGAAGGAGGCCGCGGCGGGCCCAAGGACTCGGGTGGCCCGGAGTTTCCCCGGCGAGAGGCGAGCGCAGCCCGCGCGGCGGCTTCCGGGTCGGGCCCCGGGCCTGCCGGAGCGCACCTTCCTCCACCCGGCAGCTGGGGGTGGGGAGAGAACGCGGCCGGCCTGGCGCGAGCGGCTCGGGGGTTTTGCGGTAGCGCGCCAGGCGGTGGGAATCCGCGGGGTTATTTGGTGCTTTACCGACGCCCACCACAAGCACGAGCCTCCTCTCGAGAAAGCAAGCTGGGGCGTGGGGCTGCCGTGTCCACGGCCTCCCCCCGCTCACGCTGACTTGGTCGGGTCTGACGGAGACGGAGCAGGGTCGCAAACCGGGCGGCGTCGGGACCGCCTCTGCCCCCGCTGGTGTGGCGGTGGAACTACACGCCGGGGCCGTGATCGCCAGCCTCAGCCTTCAACTGGGCGGGAACCAGGGGAGGGGTGGTACGGTAGGCGCCACGCGGGCCGATACGGACGTCGGTCGCGTGTTGGCGGCGATTAATTGCGAGCCCGTGTGCGAATTGTTGAATCGCTGAGTTAGTTTCAGAGAGATTAAAATAAGCTAGTTGGTCTTTTTTTTTTTTTCTTATACAGCATGAGGAAAACTCAACGATGAGTTGAGAAACTTGAGTTTCTGAGTTAATCCCAAGAACTCCTATCCCGCTAAAGTTGCCTCCTACTTTAACGAAGAGGGGCATTTTGGTGGAGTTTGACCACAGCATGGCAAATGAAATGGAGACACGGTGCTTCACGATTAGCTGCACTGCAAAAAAAAAAAAAAAAAAAAAAAAAAAAAAAGAACGGGGCTATTGAACAACCCACATAGCACGGCTCTTAGTGAGATTTTTAAGCTTACATTTTACATTATTATAGCAATTATTCTGGAGTGGGAGGAGGGGAGGGCATCCTCTGTGGAATGCATCTCAAAGTACGCCAAAGATTAGCGACGATCTAAAACGTGTCACAGGTAACCTGCCAGGAACCCAGCATCTGGACTGTAGAGTAACATACACCCACATAAATTGGCAATTGTACCAGCAATATCTTAGTCTTTCTCACGTACTTACATAATGCTTTCTCAGCCACGTTGGGGGTTGCTGGGGGGCAGGGGCCCTGTGGTAGGCAGCTCCTAAAATAGCTCCCAGGGATCCCCGGCTGGGCTGCTGGTATTCACTCCCTCGTGCAACCCTGTCCCTTGTGTGGGGGCCAGATCTATCAGCAGAAAAAGGCAAGAAGTGATGGATGAGCCTTTGCAGATTTGGTTACAAAAGTCTGACCTCCGTCTATCTGACACAGGTTGCTTTCTGCTTCTCTTCTGAAAGAGCATGCCAACGATTAATACTGACTGAACCAGGCATGTCCATTTCATCTTTTGCTCGTGAGCTTTATAAAGAGATACATTTTTATCACGGCACATTACTTTCAAAAGGGCCTAATTCTTTGCCCATGTTTGGGAAGGAGAGATCCGTGCTGGAAGGAGTTCTCAAGCAGGGATGAGAAGGATGAATCAGTTCACAGAGGCACAGTGTAGTGAGGACAAGGTTAAGGTCAAGCATTAGCCCACGTCTTCAATTTTTTAGCCTAATAATTAGCAGGAGAGGAGGAGAGAACAGTGGCAGAGGGTAACCTGTCCCGAGAAGCTACGGAAGAAATGATGTCCGTGAAGGATATGTGGTCAGGTAATCACAGAGAGGTGAAGGATGCTGAAGAGGACCACATCTAGGTTTTATGGGGCTTGAGGACATACAATTTGGAGAATCGTCTAAACAAAGGAATACAAAACTGCAGATACAAAGTTAGGTACAGGCATCGGAAGGAGCCTGTGCCAGTGACACGCCGTGAAACTTACGTTTCGTTAGCTTCACAGTTAATCTCTTATGAGGATGAGGTACAGCTAGTTCTCCGTCTGTACCTGACCCTGCTTTCAGGAAGAGTGCTGCTGACTCTTGCCTCCCCCGCCCCTTCCAGCACTTTCTCCTCTAGGCTTCCCTGATAGCACACTGCTTTGGCTCTCCTTTTACCACTGGCCTCCCCGCCCCCCGGCTTCTGTCAGACCTCCAAATACTAGAGTGTGCCAGGGCTTAGCTGTAGACTTCTTTTCTCTCTTTCTGCCTTCTTTCCCAAAATAATTATATTGAAATGTTAAGTAGTGACTTCAAATTATTAGCCTAAACTATAGGCTAATAAATCCCAAAACTACATACCACCCTCCTTTCCTTTAATCTACTGCTTATTAAAAAAAAAAAAAAAAAAAAGCTGCACTGTGGTTTCTCTATATATCTAAACACTTCAAACCTGGCAGACTTTGCTTTTCTTATTTGCCTAAAATGGTGCCTGGCACAAAATAGTACTTAACAAATATTTGTGTAATGGATGGAGAAATGAACAATGATGGGCCACTGGTGTATCCATTAGGGATTGCATTTAGCTGCTGATAACAGAGACTCTGATACAGTGTCTTAAACATGCAAACATCTATTTTCTTATATAGAGGTCTGAAGGAAGTCAGTCCAACATTCATTTGGCAATTCTCTCGGGTCGTTAAGGGAAAAATTGAGGTCCTTATATCTCTCTGCCACATCCTACTCAACATATGTCCTCAAAGTCATCTCTTGACCCATGATGGATGCTAATGCTCCAGACATTTCATCTGTATTTCAGGAAGAAAGAGAAAACATGGCAAGAGACGGCAATACCCCATCCTTTTAAAGAATGTTATGGAAATGCCATTCCACAATTATCCTACATCTCATTGGCCACAGCTGAGTAACAGGCCACTCCTAGGGCCAAAGGCAGTTGAGTAATGTACCTTTTCGCCTAGATGGCTTTTCAGGATTCTACTGCCAAGGAAGAAAAGGGAGAATGGATATTGGAAAGCAACTAGCAGGTCCTGCTATAGTTGGATTTGGTGAATTGGAAGTATTTGAACTTTGAAAGTTCGAGAGGTCAGTTTCCGTGGAGTAGAAGGTATGAAAATCAGGCCGAAGGGGGTAAGAAATGAGGAAATGGAAGAAGAGAAAATAGAATACATTTGTAAGAAGTTTGACAGTGAAGGGAAAGAGAGAAGTAATATCCGAATTCATAGGGATTGAAACGTCAAAGGAGTTTTGTGTAATCCAAGGGAGTATTTGGAGAGAGAGAGTGATGAAGAAAAGATGTACAGGAGGCAGAAGGAGATGGAACCAAGGACGAAAGAAGAGAAGGGATGAAGACAAAAAATATTAGAGTTAGGAGGGAAATTAAGAGAACACATGACAATTGAGCTTGATCCTTGGGGGAGACTAGTAAAATATATAAGGAACCCATACCTATGATGTATGCTCTGGTTCACTCCACAAAGAGTTAGAGACAGCTACTGTAATAAATAGTGTAAATGAAAAAAACATGTGTACCACTTAAGACTCGGCGAGAGAAACAAAAGTAGTAGGCGATATATGAGTGTTAGAGATACATTGCAAGAAATGATCGCTCATGATTATGGAGGCTGGCTAGGCAAGTATGAAATCCCCCGAGCAGAAAGGGCAGGCTGGAAAGGAAATCCCTTTCCCAGAAAGGGCAGGCTGGAAGCCTTGGGCATGGGGATGGGAGTTGAGGGGGGAGGGAGGTGGTGGGTGCTGCTGTTCACAGGTGGAATTTCTTCATCAGGGAATCCTCAGCTCTGCTCTTAAGGACTTTCAACTGATTGAATCATGTCTACCCAGATTATTTAGGATAATCTCCCTGTCTTAAAGTCAACTGATCACAGACTTTAATCATAGCCACAAAATACCTTCACAAGAACACCTAGATTAGTGTTTGATTGAGACACTGAAGAATGCAGCCAGGCCAAACTGACTCATCCAAAGAACATCACAGTATGCGTGATGCAAATTCAAGGACAGGGAACATGTGAGTTAGAACATCAGACTGAAGGAAAGTAAATGCATGGATGTGTGGGCCTATGGTATACCACATTTGCCTCTGGGAGTCTTGAAAGCAAAACAAAAGGGAAATAAGATCATTCGTGTCCCCGGGGAAAGCAAAGTCTTCCTGGCACTTAGGGCCAACATCTAGCCTCTATTGACACCTAAGGGAGTGGCTCGTCCATACAGTTGAGCAGATGTGGGCTTTCCAGCTCCCCATTACGTCTCCATTGAAAACTTCCCTAGCTGGACGGGGAGTAGGAACATCTTATTGATACCAGGATGAAGGCTCTGGCTCCTTCCTCGACCTTCTCCAACATCATCACCCTGGTGGGTGTTTTGGGGCACCTGGAGAGGGTAGAAGTTTAGGTCCCCACTCAGCCTTCGCTAGAATGGTCAGGGGCCGGGGCCACAGTTTTTTCTTTGGCTTTTGGCTACAGCAGAGATGTCACTTTCTAAATGTATCTGTCCTGACCCCTTCCCTGTCTTTGGACCAGAGAGAGCAGGATTTTGTTGGGGCCTTGTTTGTTCTGTGCCCATTGCTGTCTCTGGTTGCCTGCTTTTCTAGCATCCAATCAGGGTCCACAAGGCAAAAAGAAAACCCAGGCAATCCGCTACCGTGGATTCAACTTTTGAGGCTCCTATCTGGTCTGCCTTCTTCTTTCTACCTTTCAGTCTTTTTTTTTTTTTTTTAAAGTTTATTTATTTTGAGAGAGAGAGTGAGCATGAGCAGGGGAGGGGCAGAGAGAGAGAGAGGGAGAGAGAGAATCGCAAGCAGGCTCCATGCTGTCAGCGCACAGCCTGATATGGGGTTCCATCTCAGGAACTGTGGGATCATGACCTGAACCCAAATCGAGTCGAATGCCTAACCGGCTGAGCCACGCAGGTGTGCCATTTCAGTCTTCTTATCTTTGTCTTACACATAATGTTTAGTTGTACTTAGCAGGAGAAATAGGGAAAGGCGTGTCTACTCCCATCTTGCTGGAAGCAGGAGTCACTCCCCTTTGTTGTATTCTTTCTGAATATTTATAGCAGCCTCATAGACATTAATGCACTGAAATCCTCCTTCAAAAATTGTCATTCAGAAGTCATGATCTCTGGGGCACCTGGCTGGCTCAGTCAGTGGAGTATGTGACTCTTGAACTCAGTCAGGGTTGTGAGTTCAAGCCCCATGTTGGCTG